AGATTAATGGTGGCTTGGTGTGTTTTGCCTGCAACTCTATTAATAAAACTGAATCCACGTGATTTTAGCTACTGTTACACCCAAACTCTTAAACTCTGTTACTTGACCTCAAAATTGTGTGTTGCTTCTTGCCATCCATGATACAAAAGTTTTTTCCACAGTATCCTGATGTAGATCTCATATCTATCCTATTGCTGCCCAATCAAAGTCTGAAACCCAATTATTGTCAAACTAGGTGATTTTTAGAAGTGTAATCTTTTGTGCCATTCAAGTATCGTAGCAGTCATTTTACACATCTTTAGTGAAATTCCAGGGGTTTATGCATGAACTGACACAATTTATTCAGAGTAGGCAATGTTTGATCGTGTCACAATGACATATTATAGAGCTCCAAGAACACTTCTGTATAGACTATGATTGTCAAAAAAAATTTGTTGAATCAGTTGGCATTCTGTAGCTAGGAGGTAAAGGAGTTTTTACTGGTTTTGAATCTTGCATGTTAAGTCTAGTTAGCAAGTTTATTTATATATGTTGATTGAGTTAGAAGCATACTTCTTGTGTGTCATAGTGAACTTGCAGTCCCAAAAAATAATGTAACCTTCCCAGATCTTTTAGAGGGAACATAATATTCAATTTGTTAAAGAGATTCTGTATGAATACTTAAGAGCTCCTTGTAATCAAAATGTCATCCACATAGACTAATATATATATTGTGTGAACAACATTAACAAGAATAAAGAAGGAAGTATCACACTTTGCTGGTTGAAAACCAAATTTGATCAAAGTAGAAGCTAGCTTGACAAACAAAGCTCTAGGAGCCTGTTTAAGGCCATATATGGCCTTTTTAAGCCTGCAGACAAGAGTAGGATGTTGATTATTGAACCCCTCAGGTTGTTTCATATATATATATATATATATATATATATATATATATATATATATATATATATATATATATATATATATATATATATATATATATATATATATCCTCTTTTAATGAACCACTTAGAAAAGCATTATTGACATCAATTTGTCTTATTGGCTATCCTTTTGTGAGAGCAATAAAGAGAATTATTCTTATAGTTACAGGTTTGATAACCGGACTAAAAATATATGTATATTCTAGGCCTTCTTGTTGACTAAAATCCTTAGCCACTAGTCTAGCTTTGTGTTTAGATATTGTTCCATCAGGTTTGTATTTTAGTTTGAATATCCACTTGAATCTTATGGCTTTTCAATGTGGTGGTAGAGGGACTAAATCTTATGTTTGATTTCTAGTTAGAGTTAAGTATTCTTCTTTCATAGCATTAAACCATTTTGGATATTGAATAGCTAAAGCAATAGTACTAGGTTCAGTTTCAACAATGAAGGCTCAAGTTTTAATATACCAGACTTGGACCTAGTTATCATATGATGTGTGTTTTCAATTGTATGTTGATCTGTACTATTAGATATGTTAGGATGTGGAGAAGGGCCACTAGTTATAGTATGAGTAGGTTCACTTGCTAGTTGATTGTTGTTACTACTTTTAGATATGGTGGCCTGATTTTCAACCATAACAATTATGTCATTAACAGGATGAGGAATACTATGCATAATAGGTATAGTTGGGTAAGATATATTCACAGGGTTATAAGTAGCATGCTTCTCACAAGAAAGATTTGTTCATAAAAAATCACATGTCTAGAGACATAAAGCTTTTCAGATGATGTCATGCATTTATAACCCTTTATAAGTTGTACTGTACCCTAGAAAAATACACAATTGAGATCTAGGATTCATTTTTATCTTATTGTATGATCTTAAATGTGGAAAACAAACACAACCAAATGGCTTAAAGAGAGTATAATTAGGAAGTTTATGAAACATCATTTCAAAAGGGAATTTCTATATTATTATAGATAAAAGTATTCTATTTATTACAAACACAACTGCAGCAAAGGCATCACTCCAAAATTGAAAAGGCAAAGCAGAATTAGTTAATAATGTGAGCCCAGTTTCAATCAAATGCCTATGTTTTCTCTCAGCTGAACCATTTTGTTCATGAGTGTATGCACAGCTAAACCTATGTTGAATACCATTTTGCTTGAGAAATTTAGAAAAAACAATGTACTCTTTGCCTTAATCAGTTTGTAAGGCTTTTATTTTTCTGTTTAACTGAAGTTCAACCATATTCTTAAACTGAATAAAATAATTTAGAGCTTCAAACTTAGCATGCAAGAAATAAAGCCATGTAAACCTCGAAAAAGCATTTATAAATATGATACAATACTTGAATCCATCTCTACTTGGTGTTAGGAAGGGCCCCAAATATTAGAATATATCATTTCAAGTGGCTCTTTGTAAATAGTGTTTGATATTGAAAAAGGTAATTTATGAGATTTACCAATACAACAAGACGAGCAAACAAAGAGAAGTTTATTCTCAGAAATAGAAATATTACAAGATTTTCTTATACATTTCAGCACTTTAAAGGAACAATGTGCTAATCTGGAGTGCCAGATTGACACATTTTTACAAGATACAGTGCTATAAAGAGTAGTGACAGTGCCTAATAGTTTTACAGGTGCAGCGTGTGCGAGAACAGGCTGAAGATCATCAAAAACATATAATCTATCTTTAAGATGCCCTTTGAAAAGCACCATCTTTGTTTGCTGAGATTTTACAATGCATTCATTAGGATAAAATCCTACAAATACCTTGTTATCTTTAGTGAATTTTGATATACTAAGCAAATTATTTGCTATGTTAGGAACATACATGATGTTGTGCAATGAGAAAACAATATTTGAATTGACAGCATGCATTTTAGAATGTCCTATATGAGAGATTAAAAGGCTATTACCATCACCTACAAGAACTCATTGCTTACCTTAGTACTTCTGCTTTGTAATTAGGTTGGAAATATCATTTGTCAAGTGATTGGATGCTCCTGAATCTGAGTACCATGTCATCATCTGCTTGAGCATGAAAAGAAGAGGCCAACATAGCTTGTTGTTGACTCTTTGCATTGTTGTGAGTCGTTGTTGTGTTCTGTTATGTGCCAGGATCAGTAAGATCCTCATCAAATCCTCTGCAGTAGTGAAAAGCCGAGTACCCTTTTTTGCCACACAATTAACACTAAATCTTAGAACCACGTCTTCCATTGTTGTATCCGGACTTTCCAAAATGGCCCCTTCCTTGATTTTGTCCTTGATCAAAGCCTCTTCCTCTTAGAGAGTTTTCTCTTCTCCTCTTTGTCATTCTAGAATTTTGGGCAAGATTTACCTGAATCATTTCAGATTCTCTCTGTCTGCGACGTTTAAGCATCTCTTCGTGATGAAGAAGGAGAACTTCGATCTCAAGAATCGTATAAGGTTCACGCCTCGTCAAACACGAGGTTTGAAGAGGGTGGTTATACTCCTCCGGCAATTCATCAAAAATAAAATCGATGTGCACTTCTGAAGACACTAGAGAGCCAATCGTAACCAATGTTTTTGTCAATTGCTTTATCTGCAATAGGTACTGACTCATCGTTCTGGTTTTACGAACATTGCAAAGCTGAATCTTGATCTGTTTAACCCTTGCCTTGGTCTGGGAAGCAAAATACGTTTTCAAAACACTCCAAATCTGGTAGCACCAGGCGCACCCTACTACTCGAATCTTGAATGAGGATTCCATGGATTCTAACATCCATGATTTGAGAAGAGAATCTTATTGTTTAAAGTTCTCAAAGAGAGGATTAACCCTGTTGTTAATGATTTTATCCTCCTTCGATAGAAATTCTTGAGGAATCTTGTATGCACCAATGATGTGTCGCTTCAATTTGTGGCCATTAACCGTTGATTCGGCATGTTCAAACCAAGCAAAGAAGTTATCATCACTCAATTTGGTGGAAATGAAAGAAGAAAATAAAAAAGAAAGGGTTACGATACAGAAGCTTCTGCCATAGCCCGAAGGTTCGAGAAGCTATGCAAATACCATGTTGAGAAACTAACTCCAAAAGAAATTATTATTGATTGAATCTAATTAATTAGATATAGGGATACAAATATATATAGCTACCTAGTACTAAAACAGAAAATAATAAAATTTGTTACAACAGAAATGCCAATAATAAACTACTAATCTTGATCTTGACTTAACCAATTTTAAAGTCACTAATATCCTTTATACCTCAATATAAATTGAGTCATAATTACAAATATATTTTTAAGAGATACATTAAATGATAATTTTAAGAGTAAATTTTCTTTCTTATCATGTCATGTAACCTTCATTGCATTAAACATTTAATTTTTAATTCATCTTGATTGAATTTATATAATTTTTAAATTTAACTATTTAATTTAATCATATTTAATAAAATAAAATATTTATTGATAATAATTAGAATATTGACCATTTTTAAACCTGGGATTTGACTCCTCAAATTGCAAGTGGGTGGCATTCCCGCATGTTCAACTAGTTAAACTCGGGCGCCAGCAAAATTAATTTGTAAAAATAATATTTTTAAATTATTTGATAGAAAGATTTTTTATTTTTTATTTTTTACATTAAATTCAACTTACATTAAGCTCTGTTCCAATAAAAATCAAACAGATACCAAAACTAAACAGGCAGTATAATTGTACTTTCAAATGAATCCCGTCAGCAATTGAATTTTATAAAAACCTTATCAGAAACACCCTTCTAAACAAGCTTTATTTATTTACATATTTATTTATTTTGTGTGTAAATACAGATAACCGTTTCCGAAACCAGAAACTATCCCTAAAATTTAAAAGTTATCATAATTTTAAAAAGAAAATAACCTCGTTTCCCAAGAAATGGAACAGTGGTTTTCCAGCATATAAATCCAAGGAAATGTGGACCATAAAATCCAACAAAACACACCATAAACTACCACCTTTGGTAAAACCAAAACTGATGCAATCATTTAGCTTGCACCTCTAACGAGACACAGTCAACCCTAAGAAGATTTGTGTTGGGAAAGCCCTCAAAACCATTGTTTAAGTAAAAAGCTAGGTTTTTATATAACAGGCAAGATAAACCCTAAGTACTTAAGTTCATATCTAAAACACCAAGTATTTTAAAACAGGCAAGACAAACACACATAAAAGAGCAACAACAACTGTTTTGCGAAGCCCAAATTACAAGGGGCTGTGCACAAAATTATATTAAAACAAAGAGAGCAAATGCACGCTCTCCCCCTACTCAGAGAAAGAAGGGTCAATTTGATATAACAACGAAATTTTACATTCAAAGATCAGCAAAGAAACTTTTGAGAATGCACAAAATGAACCTATTTTTGCAGACTTTATGTAGGTACAACCATTCCAGAATTGAGAGATAACTGTGACACGAAAAGCCAAAAGAACAAGATTAAAAACATGAACTGTATGAAAAGATAAAATGTCACCTTACATACTCTTTTCTGCAGCACAAAAGACTCCTCAACTACTAAACTATCATCACAATGTTTTTCCAACTCTTCTGCTTTGCTCTTCAGCACTGAGGCCTTACTCCCTGCATCTACAAGCTTGCTGAGAACCTGCTCTTGACTTTCAGACAATTTCCCTTGTTCCTCCAACAATGTCCGTTGGAAAACTGCCCCAGCCTTCAAGTTCTGCATTACCTTTGAGATGGCTAGGTATTCAACCTCAGCTTCAATCTTTAGCCTAAAAAGGCCCTCAAGCTCAGACTCAACCCTGTTACATTTTTCCTCCGATAAACCTATGGTGCCAGCAGATTCTTCTGCAGGAAACTTACTACAACTCAGGGATGTTTCAAGTTCAGCAATCCTGGAATCCTTCAGAGCAAGCACACCCTGTAATTCCTCCAACTTGCTTTCCAGAATATTTACATTTTGTGTCAAGCTCAATACCTGAGGATCCAAGGAACTTGAAGCAGTTTGTTTAATTTCTTCTGCACCAGACTGACCAGATAAGTTTGACTTATTTAGTCCAAGATCAAAATTAGTAATACCAGCAGATGCACTGATGCATTTTGCTGAGTCATCATCATCTGGTGAAATAGCTTCAACCCCAATCTCCCTGAATTTCTGGACTTCTGCAAGTGTACAAGTAGATTGGTTATCAATAATGGCACAAGCCTTATTTGATTCTTCAATAGAAGGCCAATTTACAGAAAAGAAGGAACTTCAGCATGCCAATAACAATTAAAAGCCAAAAATAGATCTGGTTTCTCAATAGTATGCAAATAAACTACTTTCAGCATCAAAAACAAAATCTAAATAACATTACTGTATGCAGGAAGATTAGCACAATCAACTCAATATAAAATATAAAACAAGTCACCCAACGAGTTCTTAGCCACAGATTATATTTTATAATTTCAGGTCCCATTCATTTAGCTATCTAAGTTCTTGCATTTCTCAATAAAAATGATATCCAATTGAAGATATATTCAATAATCTTCATAAAGAGATAATGAAATTCATTAAAAACACACCAAATACATTAACTATGATAGGCTAAAACTCGAGACACTTAAGCATAAGACAGCCCACCCTCAGGAAAAGGTCAATGCCAGCACGTATTGATATTTGGTCAAGGCAGTGAATGATATTAAAAATAAATAAATTTAGCCTGGTCAGGTGGACCTCTTCAATTAAATACAATCTCCACAGCAATTACACATCTATCTTAAACATTTACAACTAATAGGAAGGAACCAAATCAGTAAAAGAGAAAAAGAACATAAATTTTATATTGATTGACTGAATTTCCCAGGTTATTCGAGAGAACCTGGACTCTCCCTTGCAATATATTTGATTTTGGTCCTTACATTTTTTTTTTTTCTACATCTTTAAAAATTATTAGTTTTTGTTTCTCTCACTAATGTGGCTTTATGAAAAAGCTACACGTTGCAGCATCTAAGTCAATCACATCATTATTTTTAACAGTGACTAGAGACCAAAATCAATAATTTTTTAAATTGTAAGTATTAAAACAAAAGAAGAAAAAATTATAGGTACGAAAATCAAATTTCAGAGTATTTTGAGGGACTAAAAATATATTTAACTCAATAAAAAATCATAAGGTTTAAACAGTTACAGGGTTAAAACCAGACCAATATAGATTAGGTAAGTTCATGCATTAGTGTCTTCCATGTTAGCAGCTTTACCACACTTAAACTGAATCTTGGAGCAGAATCCAAAGGTCAAGAAACTATTAATAAGGTGATATATGCAACATAAATTTTCTTTAAACCAACAAATATACTAATCCCAGTAGCAATTTGGCATGCTGAATAAAGATTTACACAGAAATCACACTTATCAAAGAGTAGAAAGGACAAACCTTCTTCAAGTGCTTCCTGGACAGCCTGGAGGCTACTAACAGATTCAATTAATGGATCTTCAATGGCTGAAGATTGGTTGTTCACACTTTTTTCTTCTGTAACTTCCCAAGACAAATTTGTAGCTAAATTCTCTTGTAGATCTTCATCTTCAACAACATTTTCGTTGTCATAACTAGCTTCAGCTCCCTCAGTGAAATGTTCATTAGTGTGACTGTGAGCTTCACCACTGTTACCTCTGTCACAGACATTTGGCCTACTGCTATGTTTTCCATTACTAGTAACTGTAAAGACACCTTGCTTAAAGTTGGAGCTTCTTGAATCAGATTCCAGACTAGAAAAAGAATTTTCCTTCTCAATTTTGACTCTTTCACCTCCTCCAGGTTTCTTGCTGCTTTCAGTCCGACCCTTTGCCTGTTGAACCCGTTGAGTCGAGTTAGGCAAATGCTTTGAATTCACATTCCTACTCCGGCTTTTATCATGCCTTAACTTGGGCTCACTAGCAGCCGTAGAAGACTTGCTACTCCGATCCTCACTATTCTCAGAATCAGTCCCAACGACAAAACCAGATCCAAGTGCATATCTAGAATCCGAACTTGAACCGTGGATCAGTAAGCCATCAGAAAACATTACGCTCCCAAACATATTCGAAGATCCATCACTTTTCTCCTTAACATCACGCAGAAAAGGTTGGTTATCATTCATATTGGCATTGCCAGACAACCCCCTCTTCAACACTTTACTAGAATCAATACTCGAACTCGGATCCTTAACAACATTCCTCCTAATTCTCTTCCATTTCTTCAACCCAAACCCCTTTGTCGGTGTCCCTTTGGAATTCACACCTTCCCCACTACCCACCTCAACAACCGTTCCCTTTTCATCTGATTTCAACGTGTTGGCATCTGAATTTCCCTCGAAACCTAACCCAATTTTCTCGTTACCATAAGAACCATCATCCCTAGTCCCGTTTTCATTTCCATCATGATCCACTTCGTTCTCTTCCACGGATTCACTTCCCAAATCCATGATCACTTTCAATCCTTATCGCTAAATCTGGGCACAGAGATTAAAAATCAAACCAACTTTAAGTGCATGAAAATTAATTGCGGTCGAAGCAACAAATCAAATGAGAATCCATTAACTTCAAAAAAGGGACTCAAAAATATTTAAAATATAAAAATTAAAAAACGGTTATTTTTGGGAAACAAACGAATAAACGAACAATTAAAAAAAAAAGTAATGAGAAAGAGGATCTGTGATTTAGAGTAATTACCTTCATAAATGAAGCCCTTGCATTGGACATGGAAACCCTAAAATTTTGGATTTTGATGGATTTGCAGCTTTATAGGCGCAGAAGGGATCAAGCGAAGCGAATGGACATTGCAATTAACAAATATTTATATCCATATCATTACAATTACATTCAATTATTAATTTTCGTTCACTGAAATAGCCCAACACGTACTATCCTTTCCCCGTTTACTAAAACAAATATAATAAATAATAATTCATTAAAATTTTACAAAATATTTTATTAATTTTTTAAATGTAACCAAAATATACCAGTTAAATTCCTTGTCAAATAAATAAATTACCTGTATTTATTTGTTTGTAAACATTAAATAAGTTAAATATTATAAGAACTAATTAAAAAATACAAAAAGTTACACGTTATTTATTCATGTCTTTACACGTAATTTATCATAAATATGGAAAGATCTTTTGTCATTAAATTTAATTAAGAAGAGCCTTTTTTTTTATAAAGTAGTGAGTTTTGTTTTACATTCCTGTTAAGAGAGATAAATATATTTAATATTTAATTATTACTTTAAATAAAATCTTTATATATACACACATGAGAAGATATTTATTTTACACTTTTTTTTTTACATTATTAATAACTTAATATGTAATATTATTTTAATTAATTTTGTCAAAATTTATTAAAATTAAATAATGATAAATTTCTTTCATCTTTGCACGACTTCTTTTTTTATCAACTATGATTTTATACTTTAGAAGTATGCATTACATTAATTTATATATATATATATATATATATATATATATATATTTTTAAGTAGTATTAAATTAATCTAAATTATTTTTGTAGATATGATATACAAATTTTGATTTAATAATTAATTTTAGCATTAAATTACTTATTAATAAAAATATTTAATTAATTATAATTTTAGGATATCTCTTACTTTTATTTGTCTAAATAATATTATATATAGAAATTAAATATTTTTTAATACAATAAATTATAATTTTGTTAAATATTCATTATAATTGATCTAATCTTCATTAGTATATCATATTTTATTAATTTTATAATCTTTCAAAATTTTAAACTTTTAGGTATTTCAAGAACCCTAATTTTAATCATTAATTTTACTACTTCTCTCTCAAAAAGTGACATATGTGTGTTACTCTATTTTACTTTACTCAAATACGATTTATTTGTATTTTTTACTTGAACATGATTTTGCATTTAAGTGAATTTTGTCTCACTTAAATAAAAATGTGTAATATTTGTATAAGTAAAAAAAACTTTACTTAAATGAGAAAAAATTAACTTAATAATGTGTGCAGCTTACCTAAGAAAAATAGAAAAAAAACTTAAAATTATCTTGTTTTAGCACGTCTAAGCGAGAATAACTAATTTTAAATGAATTTGAAAAAAAAAATTAATAATTTGAATCTTATAATTTGTTCAATCTAAACATGATCACTCTAAACACATGAGGTTAGAAGTAAGACAATGTTTGTTATTTTGTAATAAATTATAATTATAATTTTTTTTTATTTTTAACACATAAAACTCATTAATAAAATGGAATAAATTATTTATCTAAAATGTTTCTTTATGTTTTAATGACATATTCAAAGTTTTTCAATTTTGCATGTTTTTTTTTATAATAATTACATTTTTTGTATTATTTACTTAAGTGAATAAAGTTAACTTAAGTAAATCTCAATTTGCTACATTTTAGTCAAGTTGACTTAAAAATTAATTATATTTGCTTAAACAGATTAATTTTTGTTTAAGTAAATGATAGGATCTCTACCTATTATTTTTTATTTCAAATTCACTTAAGATTAATTAAATTTATCTAACCTGACTGAAAATGAATATGAGTTTGTTTAAGCAAATTATAAGATTTAAAATCAACAATTTTTTATCCTAAATTTACTTAAAATTAATTAATTTTACTTGAATAACGCTTAACATAATATCATTTAAGTGAAAAAAAATCGCTTAAGTGAAATAATCTTAAACTTTCTTCTACACACAAATTTGACATATTGTCAAATAATTTTTTTATTTAAGTAAAATTAATTTTCATTTAAGTAAATATTGGGCATTTTTGTTTAAACGAAAACAACTATACGATCATGTTCGTATCAAAACTAAGAGGATTAATATCCACTTTACTCTCCCTCTAACTTCTGCTTTGCTTTTGCACTACCTCTCTACTCAGCCTCCCTTCATCTGCTCTACTCTACCCTTTTCTTCGTTTATCTCTGTGCTCCTCTGCCTCCCTTCATCTTTCGCTTCATGCTTTGTTCAAAACCCTCACAAACCAAATTTACACTTGCAACAACAATGCCACTGCATCACACTTACAAGGGATGAAACCAACACGAGATCTATATTCCTAGTAGCTGCAGCATCATCACCAACATCAATTTAGTTGTATTTGTGCCCGAATTCGACCAAACTTGTTGGATGCACAACTCTAAATATATGTACATTATACAAGTTACTAGACTATATTTTTATATAAAATAATGAGTTAGGTTTTGCATTCTTAAGAGAGACAATTATATTTTAAATAAAATTATCTTTATTTATATGTATACTTTATTTCTTAAAAATTTATTTATCAAAAAAATTATTTTAGTGATTTTTTTTGTGAATTAATATTTTATTGATTAATTAATTGCTGATTTGATGAAAAGTTAAAACAACGACAATTGGGAACGTGGGCCACATGGGAATGGTGGCCCACTGTCACATCATATCATGTGAAGCAGTGTATCTGGATCACAGATTCGTGATGTGCGTACTACATAATGTATTTCCATTAAAAAATTACTGCGATATTCAAAGAAGCATATTTTAAATAGTATATTTAAATTACATATTTTAATTCAATACATAAAATTTAATTTTAAAAATAATTAACTGATAGAAAAGAGAAATTTTTTACTGCAAAATATGTAAAAAGTTGAATTTTAAAAAATATTAGCATAAAAAATATGAAAGTGATTATGTAAGTTTTTTTTTTTTAATTCTAACGATAAAAATTATATGTTTTAAAAAGATATATAATAAAAAAAATTATTTTATATTAACAAAAGTTGGTTTGAGTGGCAAGCGGCTCAATATTACTTAAATAAAGTCTTGAATTCGAGTCTTTATATATGTAAAAAAAATTTCAATAATAAAATCATCTATTATATTCAGATACGCAACTCAAGTTGAATTCAGATTAAATCAAATGAGAAATTGAAAAAAAATTACTTTATTATTATGAATAATAAATATATTTTATTAAGAGTTAAGATTACAATTTTTTTTATAAAATTCAAAATTAATTAATTCAATAGTTAGTTCAGAGATTATTATTAAGTAGATCAATCTTATAAATTTTTATAAAAAAATATGTATTTTATTGAATATTTTATTTTAATGGATAATAGATTTTTAAAATATAAGTAAATATTAATTTTGAATAACATATATATAAATGTCTAAATTATATAAATTTTGATATATATAATCAATAAAATAATATAAGATAATTAATCAATTAATATTTTATAAAAATTATTAAGTGACGTAAGTGTTTGAAGTTTGACATTTAGTATCAACAAATTTCATTCTTTTATTAATTAAGATAAATAAATAAATTTATCTAAAATATTACCAAGTGTCAAATTTATTGTAGTATTTGTTCTCATTTATTAAAAATTTACTCTTATATGATGTATTGAATTTTGTAAATGCAATGAATAAATCTATCTATCTAGAATCTAACATGCACTAGAAGACTTGTGATTCAGTTCCCATTTTGTGTGGGGCCAATTTGGATATTATTTCTATCTTGGTTTTGCCACCCTCTATTCCTAAAAAACACCTTCCCTTCTAAAAATCATTACCATCACTTGTAAAATTATAATTTGTCCATTTCAGACAAGAGAACTTCCATTAAAAAAATCAGAGGGGAAAAAAAACAAAGAGCACATAGGCCGTAATGCTAAAATGAAGTGCTGCAGACAGTGGCAAATGAAAATTTTTCATTCACTAGAACAAAGAAAACTTCAGGTGTTCATTTAAAATAAATCCAGCATTAAAATGACTACATTTATTAAAATTCATAAATTACAATCATTCTCAGTGGTAGGGTAATTTCAGAGAGCTGGAGTTCTCAAAGGGTTCAACAAATTTTATTTTATTTTTTCAATTAACCTCAGGATGGAACATTTTATTAAAAACCTCAAGAGATCTCAACCTGCATGGTGAGAAAGGTTAACCTTTTGAGAAATTCACATAATAAAATTACCCTAAATGATACATAAACTGAACAGTATTTATTTAAATTGACAATTTTTTCAGAATAGTCGCAATAGAACAGAAGTAGTACTCTGCAGTAATATTAAGCTGTTCAACCACCACTTATTGGAGGTATAATGGCCAACTCATCTGTGTCTTTAACAATGGCTGACTCAGTTGTGTACTCCTCATTCAAAGCCAAAACCATGCACCCTCGTATTTCTTCCAAACTTGGAAAGTTGGTAAGAAGTTTTTTCAAACAGTCATGAGTAGTACTTCCAGATGACACCTCCAATGGCATCTCACTCAGGCCAGTAAGATCACGGGCTCTAGCAAAAAACAATACTTTTATCTTCACCATTGAACTTTCTTTCTTGCTGTGGCTGGCATCTGCATCCCAAATCTCTGTCTCTCCCTCCATCATAACCCTTCATACGATAAGTTGTTAAAGAGTAGAGACAAACCAGTGCATACAAGATCTGTTCCTACAAACTTACGAAAATTCAATCTCACTACATAAATCCATGTATAGAGCTTTTTCGCTGATAAATCTAAATCAGTTGAAAGAATTCAATCAAAATCGTCTCTGGCTGCTAAAGATATTAAAATGAAAAGATCCAAGTAGTCAAACTGAAAAAAATACATACAATGGATACTTCAGCAAGTGTCACAACAGTTGTTCGGGTATGTATTCGGAAAGATAGTAGATTCAGTGCTCTATCTATAGCGAAAGATAGAAACTTACACACTAAAATGGTTACCATCTAGTTACTGGTGCAAACAGTTAATTATTTCAGCAATATTTAATTCATTCCATAAAAGGAAACAAAGTACATGTATGATAGTGAAAAGCTCAACTTAGGAGTGAAAGTAAAACAGTTGTTCAGAGTCCAGAATAAGAGTTTTCAGAACTTTATTTTATTAGCAAACTGGTGTAAAATGGAGTGTAATGGAATAGCATTAAAGGGCAATCAAGTGTATGAGGTTCGACCTAGTGGAGTCTTGCAGGGTAAATATACGCAACCTTACCTCCATAAGGGGAGAGGCTAATTCTAGAATTTAAAGCCGTGACCTCTAGGCCACAGAGCAACAACCTTATTGTGGCATCAAGGCTCACCCTCTATAAAATGGAATGGAATTAAAATGTGAAGTTCGTATGGTTAAAACCATTATATGTTTAGCTTCCCAACAAGCCATATGGTGCATGATTTTCAACTCCCTAGCCCAAGCTAAGCATCAAACACTAAATGCTCTCAAACAGTTACAATGTGCAGGATTATACTCTAAAGAAAAACCTAGTAATGAATGGGAGAAGATCAGAAAAGTTTAAGAATGAAAATCCTATTTGTTAGGTTTTCAGAGAAATAAATATAATGGTGGGGCGTAAGAGTAAAACGAGTGCTGCCAAAAACAGTGGTTATGACAAAAATCCCGTAACTATTGGTAAAGAACTAAAAACATGGGATTTTCACAGCTGAAGGCCTTTTCTAACATAGAAAAGATCCCAAATCTGACATCCAGAGTCCCCTTAACGTAGCAAACACAGTAAAGTGTACCACGAAAAACAGAACACAGCATGCGAGTTTGACAAAATTATGCGCAAAATTAGAAACAACCTCACATTTTTATGTTGTTGAAAACCAGTTGTCTTGATGCTTAAGACAAACAACTCTCGATGCATAAAAATTCTCAGTCATGCAACTCAAGAACACTAATCAAAGCTCTCATAGTGAGATCCACAAAATCAATGTATAAAAGCCCCAAACATCTACCACTTCACACTCAACTTGCACTTTAACCCTAACCAACAATCAATCAAGAAATCCTAAAGTACCGTTTACATGTAATCATCCCCATATTCAGCTTCAATGAACTAAACACGATCAGATCCAAGCAAAACAAGCATAGAAATAGTATAACAACATTGACTGAACAAATTTCCCTCTCAGAAACATCAAATTTTAAGAACCAAATCAAAATTTTCTTCTGAGGCAGAAACAGAAACGGGAATTACCATTTATCAAACACCTTAAAGCAGTGCCTTTAACCCTACTCTCATAATAACAGTTATTTAGACCAAAATTTTCACAAATACAATCGTTTAAACGAAGCCCATTAACTAGAAAAATGTAGAATTGAGGAAAAACTGAACAAAGGTTTCAATCCGCAAGTGATCGTGCAAAATTTAATTTGCAACAAAAGATTTGAGACTTACAGTGATAGATTCCAGATGGAAGTGAAATTTTGGGTTTTAGTATTGCGAGAGTGAACTGAAAAGGTGCTAGGAATGATGTGTGTTTCAACTGTGATGGATAAGAATCAAATTGGGTGCTTTTCCCCCTGGTCAGCACAATTTCTTGCAAATTTAGAAAATTGGGGCAACTTTTATACACCAATATAAATGAAATTTTAAAGTTTTTAGTTATACGGAGAAAGCTGTATTACTCCTATATGATTTTTTAAAAAATTTAAAAGTAAAAAGTGTATTTGTAATATATGATTATATTTTTATAATAAATTTTTAAAAAAAATCATAAGTCAACACTCTTATGTTTAACTTTTATTTTTCTGATAAATCAAAAGTCATGTGAAAAATATGACTTTTCTAGATTCAATATTTATTTTTTTATAAAATAAAATAGTTAGAATTCAACTTTTTTTTATAAAATAAATAGTATATGGACAGTACAGTTTTCTTATAACATTTAATTTTAATATTTTATAAAATAAAATAATTGAAAATTAAATTAAACAATTAGATAGATCAACTACAAATAAGTTATTTATAGTGTAAAATAATCTATATATTAAATTGTTAAAAATAAATTAAAAATATTTAATACATTATATTTTTAAAAAAATAATTACGGTATTTTAAATTTTTTTTCTATTAAAAGAGAAATTATATTATTGTATTAATTGCAAAAGAGTTGGAAAGGGTAAAGTTTAAAAAGGGTAAATATGTAAAACAAAAGCATTCATGTGTGAGGCTCATTGATATCCAACTACAAGTGTAGCATGTGTTATGTTGCATGCAGTTCTGCTGCTACAATCACTTAACATACACCTATTTTAGTGTGTGATGTTCAATCCACTTTTTCTGTTGTGTTGTTGTATTGAGCTTTTCTGTTTTCATTTTGTACTTTTCAAATAATGTTGAATCGACCAAGTTTAATAATTAAATTTAACTTAATATTATTTTCATAAATAATTCTTAAAATTAAATTGTTGCATTTCATTTGCAAACATTAATTATTCTTTAACATTCAAATGGTAAGAATTTATTTTAAATGATATGGTTGAATTTAAGTAATTAATAATAATAAAATTTTAATAAAAAATATTTATTATATTTTTATATATTCAATATAGTGTAATAAATACTTTTTTATTATTATTTTTACGTGGTTAACCTCATCTCTAAAAAAAATTATTCAAAGTGACTGCTTTAATTTAAATTTTCAAATGCAATTTTTTAAGAAAACATATTCCTCTAAGATATATTTGAATTATTTTTTTAATTTAATTCAAATTAATTTTGTCAATTTTCACATAAAAATAATTTTAGTTTAAATAGTTGTAAAATAAATTATTTAACTAACATGTGTCTTGAGACATATATCGTTAACAATTCCCATAATTATATTATTATTTAATTATTAAAATTTTTACTACTCTTGTAATCCCTACTTTCTTGGTTAAAATTATTTGTGTTACTATTGTTGCCATTATAATTGATATTATTATCAAGTTATTCTTATTATTACTAACATAGTTACAATTGTAATTATATTTATTATTATTATTATTATTATTATTATTATTATTATTATTATTTTTAATAATTATAAAATTATTGTTATTATTATTGATATTAATATAATTTTTAATTATATTTTTTATTATTGACTAAAATTTATTAAAAATAAAAAAACTAATAAAAAAACAAGTTTCACATAAATTTTATAATTTTTAATAAATTTTAGTTAATAATTAAAAATGTATTAAAAAATTTTATTACTAGCTTTCTATATCTAAATTTTTATCGTCATTCTTATGTTAAATAAGTTTAATTTAAAAAAAAAAATTGTATTTTAAATTAAAATTTAATGTCAAAGTTTAAAAACTAAAATACATAAGAATTTATTATAAATTAGTTTTGTAATTTTCATTGTGTGTTAAACGGGTGTTAAAAGTTTTATAAAACATGAAAATGTATTATTTGAAAACACGTAAATCTAAACTGACTTATTAGTGTGTGGTCCATGTGGGACTAGTCTTTGGTTCAATTTCCGGTGCAAATAGTTTAAAATTGTGTCAGAAGAGATGCCCTTCCCAACTATTGTACGAAGTAAGAACCAAATAGTTTAAAATAAGAGTTTTGATTATTTTTAATTTTTTATTTTTATTATATTATTATAAAAAATATTTATCTCAATTTAAACATTTAATAATGATAATTTTTTGTTAAAAAATTATTTATTACATAAAAATAAAAACATTTTAATTCTAAATAAAAAACTTATTATTAATAATCTGAATTATAAAATTATTTACACTTACATATGTTTGTATTAAATTAAAAATATTTTTACTTATCATTACCTATAGGTTTAATTAAATTATTTTTATTAACTTATTAATGAGAAGAGTGCATAGTTATATGAATATTTAAATTCATTAATTTATTAAAATATTTATATAAATAAAAGAATAATTTTTTTATATTAATAAAAATTTAAAAAAATTTATATTTAATTTAAATTTTTATTTAACTTACATTTAACGGTCAGTAAAATATTAAATTATAATTCATTATATATAAGTTAAATAAAAAAAATAAAAATTTTGTATGAATTTTTAAACTTATACTATCTATCTCATATATATATATATATATATATATATAACTAGTAAAAAAATATAAAAAATATAAAAAAATGAGAGATAAATAAAAAATTACAAACTGAGTATAAATAAATAAAAAATAGAATCATAAATAGTTTGTTTTCATAATAAATAGCCTAAAGTACATTAAGTATGATTAATAGTTAATAAATAATATTCATCTCATTGTAAGCAGTAAAATAAAATGATGCCAAGTTCTCACTCGATTAATTAGGATCTTTTAAATTTTTTAAATATACGTATATGAATATATAATAAAATTTATATAATTTTATTTTAATTACTGACCAATCTTTGGTCCTTGTGCTATTGCCAACTTTGACTGAAAGATTTTCCAGTTACACTAGCTGAGAGAATGGAAAGCCAAGCACATAAGACAAAAAGAAAAGTGCACTGTAGTCTATTAAACTATTAATTTTGAAATACTAATGCTTGCTTTTCTTTTTCTTCGTTTTGGTAGAGGTACCATTCTTGTATTTAAGTGTTTATTTAATATTATATGTTCAATTCAAACTTTGGAGAACCAACCCCCACGTTAGATTCCCTGCAGAACTATATGGGAGAGAGAGAGAGTCCATTTTTTTATTCCTCTCTCTCAAAGGGTACCCTGCAGTTGAAGTTGAAGCAGATATAGAGATTAGAAGGGCTTTTACATTTTTGTTTTTCTTGCACCTTTCAGCCTAATATGGTAGAACAACGAGGTAATTTCAATGGTTTCAGAACAGAAGTATTAGTTCAGGTTGGCCTAGTTATGTGAGAGTTACATTTCTGATTTCTAACACTTAGTAGTAGCATGAGAAAAACTGGAAGCTGAAACTCATCTCACAACATTCACATTCAATCACACACTCTAGATGCTTCATAACTACACCACATAAGTACTGGTACTAGTGCATTTGGTGAAGTACAGTATATAGCTTCAGATACTAAAAGCCAAGTGATGAGTCTGTGCACCACATGCATGCTTCTTTGTGTCTGAGCTTTTAACTAAACATGGTCAGAGCCACACACATTATTCAGGTCTGTTGTTTCCTAGCAGCAAATAATGGTTCTTTGGAAGACCTACCTATGTTGTGTATGACCCACATAGACAATAGAGAAGAAGGCCATTGCTAATTATTGAGAAACAAATGGTGTAGAGTAACACATAATGTGTTCCTATAGTGAGATCTAGCCTAAAGGCCACTAGCACTGCACTTGTTAGCCATCATCTTTGAAGGGTTCTTTTATTCATGGACACTGAAAGAGAGGACAACAACCAGGGTATCAATGGAACACACAATGCAATCTCTACTGGCACACTGAAAAAAATTAAGATTGCCAGCAAGAGCAAACAAGGTGAGGAGAGTTTAGACAACTCAAACTTGCCTTCACCGAACATAAAGAACTCTATAGAATCATCACCTTATGGTTCTCCTCTTGTGTCTCCCCCTTCTTCAGCATTTGTTTCAGCACTGCAGTCTCCATATATATCTCCAAGGGCCATAATCCTAAACCCCCCTAATGGATCTTCTTTAGAAAATCAACCACCACTACCAACAACAGCAACAACAGCAACAACAACAACAACAACAACAACCCATTCTTCCACCCCAGAAGATGTTCCAAGCAGTTCCTACACTCCACCTTCTGATCAATATGAGTTCTCTGATGACACTGCTGATACAAGGCTCAAATTTGTGACATGTGTGCCTGAAGCAGCTCCTCCGCGCATCTCATTCTCATTTCCAGTCCCTAGAATTTCCTTTGCAAAAGGTCCTGTGTCTCCTGCATCCAATGCCAAACTCAGAAGCTGTGATGTTTACATTGGATTCCATGGCCAGAACCCGAACCTGGTGCGCTTCTGCAAGTGGCTTAAGTCTGAGCTTGAGCTTCAAGGTATTGATTGCATGCTCGCTGATAGAGCAAAGTATTCAGATAGTCAAAGCCATGAGATTGCTGATACAGTCATTTGCTCGGTGGCATTTGGATTGGTGGTTGTCACAAGTTCCAGCTTCCTCAACCATCTAAGCATGGAGGAGGTGAGATTCTTTGCACAAAAGAAGAACTTGATCCCTCTCTTATTTGACACAGGACCTGCTGAGACTATGGCTCTTCTTAACTGCAACTCAATTGACAAAGAATGTAAAGAGGCAATTGATGGACTAATGAAGTGCAATGAATTCAACCTAGAGGCTAATGATGGTAATTGGAGAAGTTGCATAGCAAAAGCTGCTGGTATTTTAAGAGCAAGACTTGGAAGGAAGACTGGGGAGCTGAAGGATAATATGCAAGAATTTGAGAGTTTACCTTTTCCAAGGAACACATGTTTTGTTGGAAGAGAGAAGGAGATTATGGAGATTGAAGGTCTTTTCTTTGGACGTGGGAATTGTATGGAACAACAAGTACAAGATCATTGTAGGCCATTCATCAAAGGAGAAGCCAGTGGCAGTGGACAATCTGAAGGCCTTGCAGATGAGGAAAGTGAACCTGTGATGGGCCGGTGTGGAAGGTATATTAGTCTAGAGATGGGAAGGAGCAAAGAACCAACTTTAGAGGCTTGGGTTGAACCAGTCATAGGAAACAATTCTTTGAAGAGGTTGAAGAATAAGAAGTCAAAGAGTGGAAACTATAGAAGCATGTGTAGCAGTGTGATTTGCATTAATGGGATTTCTGGGATTGGGAAGTCTGAGCTGGCACTGGAATTTGCTCACAGATATCACCAGAGGTACAAAATGGTCTTGTGGGTTGGTGGTGAAGCTAGGTATCTCAGGCAGAACTTATTGAACATGTCTCTCAATTTGGGAGTGGATGTTGGTGCTGATTCTGAGATGGAAAGGGGCCGGATACGGAGCTTTGAGGAGCAAGAATTTGAAGCATTCAAGAGGATCAAGAGGGAACTGTTTGGTGAGACACCTTACTTGCTGATAATTGATAATCTTGAGACTGAAGTGGAATGGTGGGAAGGGAAGGATCTATATGACTTGATACCAAGAAACACAGGAGGGACACATGTGATTATTACTACTAAGTTGTCCAAAGTAATGAACTATGATACTATTCAGCTTCCACCATTGCCATTACCTGATGCAATGATTCTGATAAGAGGAAGAAAAAGGAAAGAGTATCCAGCAGATGAGATAGATGTCCTTGAAAAATTCAATGAGAAACTTGGAAGGTTGAGCTTTGGTTTGTGGATGATTGGTTCATTGTTGTCTGAACTTGCAATTGGTCCTTCAGCTCTCTTTGAGGCCATAAACCAGATGTCACTTAAAGAAGATTCAAACTCTTGCTATATGAGCATTGCAGAAGAGCAATGGTGCAAGAGCAATCCTTTCCTCATGAAGACCCTCCTCTTCTGTTTGGAAACTTTGGAGAAAACTAAAGCTAAAGGGAACCTCCTGGCCATAAGAATGCTTCTTGTCAATGGTTGGTTTTCCCCTGCTCCCATTTCAGCCAGTTTATTAGTCAATGCAGCAAAGAGTATCCCTATGGTTGAAAACCGTCTCAAGAAGTGGTCCAAATGTCTGAGCCTAACATCTAGTTGTTTATCATCGCCAACATGGAAAAATGAAGAAGATTCAGCACTACTTCTTGTGAAGATGGGACTGGCTCGAAGGGCGAATCAACATGATGGATGTTGGCTTCATTTCCATCCTATAACACAAGCATTTGCTAAAAGAAAAGGTGGCTTGCAATATGCCAAGGCAGCAATTCAAGGAGTGAGAAAAATGGGCAGCCATGTGAACTCAGATCATTTGTGGGCATCAGCTTTCCTTGTGTTTGGGTTCAAATCTGAGCCACCACTAATGCAGCTGAAGGCAATTGACATGGTTTTGTACATCAAAAGAACTGCTCTCCCCCTAGCAATTCAAGCCTTCACCACTTTCTCAAGATGCAACTCAGCTTTGGAACTCTTAAAGGTGTGCACCAATGCATTGGAGGAAGTTGAGAAGTCCTTTGTCTCTCAAATCCAAGATTGGTCCAATGACTCAATTTGTTGGAAAAGAAGGTTGCAAAGAAGCCAAAAAGTGGATGAATATGTGTGGCAGGATGTAACATTGTTGAAGGCAACTCTACTAGAGACTAGAGCAAAGTTGCTAGCAAGAGGAGGGCTTCTAGACAGTGCCAAGGAACTGTGCAGAACATGCATCAGCATCAGAACTGTGATGCTTGGCCATAACCATGCCCTGACCTTGGCTGCTCAAGACACATTGGCAAGGTTGGTGAGAATGAGGAGTAAGATATGAGTATGTTTGTTTTGTGTCTTCTCCATCACAGTTAAACTACATAAAAGACAACAACTGTAGTGAAGGTGTAAATGTTAGGGTGGTAATGAACTAATGTTCCTTGCTTGCATCATCAACAAAAAGCATTACTGTGGCAATAATGTACTGCTTGTTAATGGCCTTTACTGTATGTTTGTGAAAATGATACTGTCAAATGAAGATCTACTAGTTACCTTCAGATATTGTTATAGCTTTTTTCGTTTTGCACTCAAATGCATATGAATCTATTGGTTGTAGCTTCTGCACGTTTACAAATTTTCTAATGTGTTTTTAAACACATTAGTCTTTGATTGAGTTTATGTTATTCTACTACAGTAATTAATCAATAAAAATTTCATTAATTCAATTTAGCTGAAGTATTGACATAACTACCAACTTTGTGTGGACATATCTACTATTTTTTAATTGCTCATCGGTTAAGGATTTTGAATGAAAATCTTTAAGATAAGGAATATTAGATGGACACAGTTTTTATTAATGACATATCATAATTGATTATGAGATTCACTAATTAAATTTAATTAAAATTATATTATTTTTGCTCTCCAACGTGATCGTATGATGTTATGCAATAACATGAGAGAATTCAAATCCGAAGATAAGTGGTAAACAAAATTATGTATACTGTAATTACATTTCCTCATTGTCTTTCATTTTCTTAATACAGCAAATATTAACTCTTTTTTTTTTCTTTCCTGGGACTGTGTCTTGCACCAAAGTTCTTTTGTTGGTTTGAGGCTTGTCATTTTTTTTTTCTTGTTCGTTGTGCATGAGCTAAAGTGAATACTTTGGACAAAACTTGAGCAATAGAATGAAACAAAATTAGATATGTAAATAAGGTGTATCCTACAGCAGGAGCGTATGACTTAAATGAGACATAGGTCAGATTATATCCTACAACAGGAGCATATGTCGACGCGGGTCAACTCTCAATAATCCATTAATTCTTTGAAGTGATTGAGTTTTTAAATTTTCATTTTTAAATAAAATTTTAAAACAATGTGTTAAGTTAAGATGGAGTTGAGTTTATTTTAACATAATTTTGAAGTGCTTTTGACTATACTTTTAAGATAAAAAAAAACTTAAGTTTTTAGTTTAGATATAAAAATAAATTGTTCAATTCTTTATATCTTAAAAGATTCATAATTTATTAACCTTCTCATTATCATTATTATTACTATTATCATAACCAACATTTATTATTGTCATAGTTATCACTACTAATGTCATTGGTGTTACTAATATGTTGCAATTACAATCATCTAATCATTATCTTTTTTATTATTATCACAATAATATAATTAAGGTTGTAGTTGTCACTACTATCATAATCATTATCATTTTTACCAACACTTTAAGATTATTATTATTATTATCATCATTATTATTAACAAAAGTTCATTATTACTTTCACTATCACTTTTATCACATGTATAAATAAAAAAAGGTAGGGAGAGATTAATATAAATTGAATTCAATATTTAATGTAAAAATTTGAAAACTAAAATCTACCAAAAAATATTAACATAAAATTATATTGAATTTTAAATTTTAAACTAATAATCATATTGAACAAGGCCTACATAAGTCAAGTTAAATCTTTTTAAAAATTATTCAAGGAAAAAAAAATCAAGCTTTAAGTCATTAAAAAAGTTTCTTAGACTTATTAGACTAACTTATCGAAAAAAATATAAATAATATAATAATTATTCTATTATTTTTTATTATACTCTTTTAAGATTATATATTTATTACTTTACTTACAGACTTAAATATACTAATAGACATATAGGTTTAATCCATTTACTTATTTAGAAATAGCTTTTAGGCTTATTTATAAACTTTACTATAAAAATAACTTGAAATAGACCTTCAAGCCATGTCAGATTTTTAAAAATAGCGTATATAAGATTAAAAAGGTTTGAGTCAAACCTTAAAATTTTAAAAATAGATCAGGTTTAGACTTTATAAACCCTAATTTAACTTAGCCTTGCCTATTTTTACTCTTAAACGAAAGAAATCCCACAAAGAATAAGAATAGTAGAGATTATTAATTTTCTTTAAAAAACAATTTTCTAAATTATAGATTATAAGTCATGGATGTTGATAGGATTGTGCGAAATGCTTGTAATAAATCGCTTCTACAAAATAAGTGAAGTATGGGCCCACATTATGATTTTCATTATATTACAACATAATTAATTCATTATATTATATTAATAAAATATTTTTCGGTGTCCTTTCACAAATTAGAAGAAATTCGTCGCCTTATATTTCTATCAGAGATAGATTGGTGCAAGCAAACCCTTTATGCCGCTACTTCCAAACATATTTCCATAATTTACCTTTCCATCCATCGAATCCCAAAAATTCAGAAAGCTACTGCATTACGTCATCGTAATAATGTTGCAACCTTACATGTTGACGTTTTATACAAATATCTAAATATGGATAGGGAACTAGAAACCTATAGTTCAAACAAAACACAGTTTTAAACGGTTTGAAGTTTAACAATTTGTTTCAGCATTGATTTTCAAAGCACCATAATACAAATTTCACAACTGCCTTATAAAAATTTAAGTAGACAACTTAGGCTTTACCAAAAAAATAAGAAACACCAAAAACAAGTTTTTGAGTATAAAGTTAAACAAATTAATTTGAATAAACTGCCTTAAACAAAATAGATGAGACCTTACAAAATAAACTAAATTTATTTTTTCTTTTTAATTCATTTTATTTTTTTTCCATATAAACATTTATTGACCAAGACTAAAATCCAATTTAAATAAACTTTTCAATAAGTACTTATAAAAGTAAAAAATTAAATAATAATAGAAAATAAACTCTTCTCATAACATATAAATTAACTTATATTTCTAATTTTTAAAAGCTACTCTCATTTATCTTGTCAAAAACTTAGAGGTAATACTTTTATCTTATGAAAAAAATTGAATTCATTGTTTATATTATTTTTCTTCTCTTTCAAATACTTACCCACAAGTTCACCCAGTCTAACTCTTAAGACTGAGGTTTTCAGTGAAGATCTCAACTACAATGCAAATTCAAAGCCATTCTGTCAAATAATGGCCAACCGCACAAGCGAACGAGTTACAATGGGATATTTTACAATTTTGTATCTTTCGACACAATTCTCCTCCAACAACTCTGGTAGTGATGTAGAGGCTTTAAAAAGAGATTACAGAATATTAGACAGGATAGAATTAAGCGTACATAATTCCTCTAACAGGAGACAACTTCTAAAATTGAAAAAAAAAAGCAGCATTTCACTTTTGTATAAAGCTAGTGACTAACAGAGGACCATACTAGTACCAAGCATACTACTACATGATGTCTCCTGAGAGGATTTGTGGCAACATATCAGAAGTGTTTCTGATAATCCTGTGATGGCGGTTGCTCCCATGGCCGCAAAAAGCCTACACAAAAATGCAATTAGTGTAGGAACATAGGAAATCTGTGAAACCCATATTTTATATCATTGTTTTATTATTCTACAAGCTCACAATTACATCACACAAAGGTTGCAATGTAATCAATTATGCTTCAACTCTGGGTTCTGATCATGCTGTAAGCAGCAATCCTAGATTCATACATCCACACACATCTACTCAGTTTTAATGCACCCAGATACCCCCACCTCCCTCACAGAGAATAGGCAGCAGAGATGTTTATATGATCCGCTTCTTATACAAAGTCTAAACATCCTTCCCAGTATAACTGTCGAAGTTATAAGGAAAAGAGAAAGAGAGAGAACGAGAATTCTCAGAATATTGTATGAGATTGATATTTTGATGTGTTAATGTCATACAAATTGCTTAGTTAATGGTTCTATATATTAGCAACTAGGTAAAGTACTAGTACAAGGTCAAGCATACTAATACTATAGAATTTCTAACCCTATGCTACTCAGCTACAAGTTAGCAATTAGGTTAAGTACTACCAGTAAAATGTCAAGCATAGTAATAAAATTTTTAACCCTAATCAAACAAGGAAACAACTCCTACAATTGCTCCTTAATTAGAGGAATAATTAACCCCACTCCCTCCCCCACCACCACAAATAGAGACACCCATAAGTCGTGCAGAAAACTCCCTTCTTTGAAAGTTGAAACCATAGTAGTCAATTCCTGATAGTGGGCAGAGCAGCCGACTTAAAAAATGCTATTGTATTCAATTTTTAAATATTCTTAATATAAATTAAGTCGCATGCAAATTTGGAACAAAACAAAGAAGGAAATAAATGATAAATGGTGAAGAAAAATAGAAAACAGAGTGTTCAGTCACCAAAAAATATTTGGATCACGTCAAAAACTTTGTCAAAGATAAAGGAGACAACCAAAAAACATCTGGTGAGTTGGAAGCTTCATCAAAGATGAAGATGACCAAAAACGTTTGGATCATGTCAAAACACGTCGCTAAAGATGAAGAAGACGATCAGAGATGAAAAAGATGAAAGAAGTTAGTTAAAAATGGTGACTCTTGATGTTGCACTAGGAGAAGCAAGAGAAACACAAAGGTTGGAAATTTAAGGGCTTGCCGGAGGAGAAGATATGAAAGTAAAAGGGGGCAAAATTCTATGATTGCCCCCCCCACCCCCCCTAAAAGTCTCCCAATGTTCAAAAAGGGAGGGGTAAAATAGAGATTTGACCTAGGAAATGAAATAGTAGCCGTGATTTGCCCTATTTGTGGCCACGATTCATAGCGCGACACCGCTACTTTGAAACGCCACATGATGACATCTTCATAGTGGCAACCTGCTGCTCCTTTGGACGCTATTGGCTACTATGGTTGAAACGCACCAATATAACTCCTATAACTCTCCAAATTATGCGTATTGATTCCCTATAAGGGGTTTTGGGGCACATGCAAGTAATGGTCAACAGGCACTAGTATGTACATTGTTAGTTCAAGGAATCATATTGGTGAGTTTTAAGGCAACTGGATTTTCTACACATGAACCATAATTAGAGGGTGTTTCTTTAATTTTAGCCTTAGTTCTAAAATGAAGACACTCTTAACATTCATAGTAAACCAAGTGTTTGTCTGGATTGGAATGTTTTTGGTAATTATATGAAAAAGGCTTAAAAAACACTATTCCCTATTGTCTGGTAAATTTAAAAAAATCACCCTATAAACTTTTAACTAATTTTTTTTACTAAAGAAAAAGCTTATTCAAGATAAGCAAAATTTTGGAGTTCATGATTAAAAGCTATCAGCTAATTTTCTAGTTAACTTTTCTTTTTCCATTTTATCATTAATAATTGTTTATTTTAAATACAAAACTAACTATTGCACAAACTTCATACCTATTTTTGTAATTAAAAGTGAATATTTTATACAATCCAAACAAATCTAGATTATTTTAAAATAACTTCTCATCTAACATATCCAAACATAAAACTTATTATATATAATCAATTATTGTAATAATTATCCCAATAATTGATTATAAATACAATCAAATATTAAGATAATCTATACTTTCAGCTTATCCAAATACACACACTAAAGCACACTATGCATGAAGCTTATTACAAATATATACATGAAATAATCCTAAAAAGATCGAGGCTTCATTAACCACACATGTTCCTCCTTTTCTTTCTTTTGTTTTTTTTCCCCTTTTGAGACCAAAACAAAGTCTCAACAGCAAAGCATTCAATGCTTCAACACATGCTATCATCATGTTGCCACATAAAAGTGAGCTAGTTTTAAATAACTCCATTTGTAAAACCAAGCACTTGGGTAAGTCCTTATTCTACATATAGAAGTCCTTTTGTTGGTGCTTCTTTTAAATATACGAGGATGATAATCACAATGTCCCAATGGTTGTCACATTGGGAAAAAACTGACTGTACAGCAAAGAAGATATCTGGACGTTTGATAGTGAGGTAGTTCAAATGCCCAACAAGTCTCCCATCCCACTTAGGGTTTAGCAATGGCTCCTCTTTCATGGCTAGAAGCTTTGGCATTTGGATCCATGCATGTGTATGCAGGTCAGCAGTTAGTCATTTCAGCATCCTCCAGGACATCTAGTCCATATTTTCTGTATGCGATTGCAACCAGTAATACTGAACCACTTCAATACCCAGAATCATGGGAAAAAAAAGTACTTCTCAGCTGGCAGATATCCTCCTTTCCACTATCTTAGATGACATTATAATTTATGACTACTACTATATTGTCCACATTGGCAACCAAATATATCCCTTGGCATTGTGATGAATGACAGTAGAAAATAGTGATCTTCCTCACTATAAACCATCCCAAACTGCTAACTATATCAAATCACCCAAACCAAGACACCAAAGACCATTTCAAAAACATAAAGAGAATAATGCACGCAGTGAACAAATCCAAACACCTTATAGTTATCATATAAACCTCTCTAGCAAGCTCACTGCTCACCTTGAAGAAATACATTTACAAATCCATGTCAGCCATAAAGAGAATATATGGACAAAAGCAATTTTAACCATAGGTTAGAAGGCGTCACTATAATCCAACCCATACAACTACGTCTAGTAATTAACAATCAACCTTGCTTTGTGCCAATCAATCTAGACCAAAGTAGTTAAAATCAGGATTTTACCTTGAATCATAAATGGGAGTAAGAATTGTAAACATATAGTAGGATTTATAAATTCATATTTTTAAGAAACTTGAGCCTAACTCACTTGCAAAAGTTAACCCATAGGAGGAGGACTACCCTATCCCTTATAAGGAATATACTGACTCTATTCCTAATCAAAGTGGAACAACTTAACACACCTCTTTCATGACTAAGACTGGACATCTGCATGGGTGGAATCCAACAAGACTGAATAAGCTCTAATATCATGTTAAGAAACTTGGACTTAACTCACTCCTAAAAACTAGCTCATAAATCACTAGCAACACTTCAATAAACCAGTACTCATAAATCATAATCCATATTCCACAAGAATGTCATGCACAAGCCATAAAAATGTAAAACTCAGAAATCAGAAACAGAGTACTGAGTAGAACAGAAAAGATGTGTGGATGATAAGGACAGCAGCACTAGACATAAACTCAGAGCAGTCATAGTGGATCACATCTCAGACAGCCACACTCAAACTCAGCAATTGCACACTGCTGGGTTAGTCGAAGACCAGGCATTCTGGTTCAAGAACTGCTAAACGTCATAGTAGTCAACCCTGAATAGCAGTGCGGAGCAGCTGATCCCAAAAACGCTATAGCAGGATAGCAGATATTGGATAGCGGGATGATTGCTATTCTGAAGTCATCGGAAAATGTGCAGGTTCTCCAAAAGTTTTGTCGGAAATAAAGATGACCAGAAAATGTCTAGGTCATGTCGAAAGCTTCGTTGGAGTTGAAGAAGACAACTAAACATCAAGATAATTGGTCACGTCGAAAGCTTCACTGGAGATGAAGATGACCAAAGAACATCTCTATCGCGTCAGAAGCCTCTTCAAAGATGAAGGAAACTAGAAGCAAGAGGATTCTGAAGAATGAAGGAGAACTAAGAGACTGTCCCCCTTAAAAATCACCCACCGTTCAAAATGGAGAGTAAAGTCAGGATTTGAGTGCAGATGAAATAGCGGCCATGATGGCCGCAATTTTCCCTATTTTTTGGCTGCAATTCGCAGCACAACAACCGCTACCCTTAAATGTGACATGATGACGTCTTCATAGTGGCACCTCGCCATTCAGGCGTGATAGGAGCCACTATTGACTACTATGTTTAGAGGTTGACAATGGTGTTATGGTTCAAAGTTGCTAGGGGCAGATTGAGTTTGATCAAGAAGAGAACACAAAGAGGAGTCACTGCATTAAGGCTCAAAGAAAGAGGCTTTTTAAGGGATTTTCAGAATCGAAATGAAATTGTGAATTCCCAAAATATAAGGGATTTTATGATTCAAATTAGGATTTTAACTACATGATCTGGACACTTGACCAACTTTAATTGCACATAAACAGAAACAACCAAATGTACTTTTGGCAAAAGATAAAAGAAACAGTCACCGAGTACCACTAGTATGCAAATCTTTCATCCAATCCATGATTGTTTTCACAATCCATGATGGCATAAAGTCTTATTTGTAATCTTTGGAATGGCAGTAAAGGATGAAAAGATGTACCAGAAGTATAGTAGGGTGAAGATGGAAATGGTGACACACAAAAATACATGCAATGCAGACGGGGAAAGGAGAAAATAATTTTTTTTGAAGGGAAACAAAAAGAATGGGGCCATAGATAGGATTGTGCAAAGTAAAGGCATTGGCAAAAGAGAATCAGCAAGCATTTCAAGAGGTCTGGTTCAAGAGGTCTAGCAAAAGGATTAGGATGTTAGCAACAGACTCTGTAAAAGAACCAATCACGTGAACATTTAGAACCCCATACACAAGAGACTGAAACAACAATAACAATAGCCT